TTTTTTTAATACTGTTTCTTATTACTCTTAGTAATTAGTACTTTAAACTTAACATTGCTTTTTACATTGTACAAATGTACATTCGAAAATATCGTTTTTATACATTTCAAAGTAAAATGCACGATTATTTTATTGTTCTTATTATTATCAATACACATAAAAAACAAAACAAAAAAATCTCTATCTTTTCTTAACGTTTTTTAGGAAAAGTTTCAAATATGCCTGTTATGCTGAAATATCAGAGCCCTATAAAATTTATCTCTATCTTTTTATTTTTTTTTTTTATTTTTTTTTTCTTTTCTAATTATTGTATTCTATATATATATATTGCATGTTGGTAATTTATAATAAAAATTCAAAAGTTTAAAGAGATTGTTGTATAATTGTATAATGTCTGATACATTAAAATCTGTGAGACACATTTATTAACAATTATGTAATAATTATTTTTGTGATACTATATATATATACACACGTATGATTACTATTATTATTATTATGATTATTATTATTATTATAATTATAATTATTATTATAATTACTATTATATATTATCTCTATATCGTTGTTATATTATAATTATTATTATTATTATGTCCACCATTTATTATTACAAATGCTACTGCTGTTACTACAATACTATTATTCTCGATATCACCATCAGAGACATACATACCTATCTGCTATTATTATCACAATTAAAACTGTTAATGGTTTTTAAATACAATGTTGTGTTACAAGCGTACTTTTGTATTTCATATTTTACAAATAAGAACATGCACGCACATACATATATACTTGAGAATGTGTCTACTATGTATTCATGTCTCCTACTTTTTTTACAGAATGTATAATACATTATTATTATTATTATCATCTCGTCGATCCAGTGATTTAATTATCGATGATTAGTTATATAATAACGTATAAATATTTAATTTGTTATTTTTTAGCCATCTACGCTATTTTTTACTATTATAATTCCAGTATTTATATCTATATACTATTATATAATAATATTTGAGATTTTTTTGTCCCGTTTGTGACTGCTTTTCCGAAGGTACAAAAAGTGAAAATTCTATATATATATACATATATATATTATTTCTTTATTTCTTTAATATTATAACTTTTAGCGTATGCGGTGTATAATGGATATGCATTCGAAGAGTAGCGGTAAAGTTTCATATAATGTTAATTATTGTATTTGCCATGATTAGAAAAGTCATTGTACGAGACACGAGTGTGTATGTATTATGATAAATGTTCTTTTCATTTATTTGTCAATTGCTTTTATTTTTCACCGAAATTTTGATAAATACGTAGCGATATATTTTCTCAGAACGATGCATCAGCTTTCCTCTTGCACTCTCTCTCTATTCCTTGCATGCTGCGTGTGTAAGTACATTATTGCAAGTTATATCATCCTTTCCTTGTAACATTTGTATTTATATTATATTATATATATATTTATATATGTATGTGTCATATGTTTATGTAAATGCAGTATTTTTACGTGGTAAGGGTAGAAGTGACTGATATGCGCGAGTGGATCATAATTTATCTACATTTTCCTTTTATACAAACAAATCCTTTCGTGTTGTTCTTTCATTGCATGTTCATCATTGTGAATGTGTACAAATGAAAAGATGCCATATATTTCTTTAACCCTAAATCATATCAAATAATTTAATCGTTCAATCGATCAAATTGAATAGTAAAAATCCTTTGGACATCATTATTAACAAATGTTCATTTCATCTTTCAAATTAATGTTTCATTATTATATTGTGTTAAAGAGATATTTGCAACTTATGAGAAAATAGCATTATGTTATCTTCATTGTTAACATTAATACCCCTTAATAATAATAATGATAATAATAATAGTAATAATAATAATATAAATAATATAATAATAATAATAAAATAATAATAAAAATAATAATAATACGATGTCAGAATAACCGTAAATAGTGACTGACTGATTGTATCTATATGTCTGTTCGCCCATAGTGGACATGGATCAACGCGTTGGCCGGTATCGTCTACTGTCTGATGGAGGGATGATAGATCTTTTGTGAGCACATCGTTCATCACCCTTATTCATCTTTCAACTACCGTGTCATTGTTATCTTTAGTTATCAGACAAAACATCATCAAATGTACAAAGTAAATGAGCTGATAGGTCTCTGCCATATTTGTTTGTTTTCTTTTTTTTTTTTTTACGTTTAAGGGTTTTTAACAATGCGAAACTTGTTCAGAAAATATTTCTATATTTCTTCTTCTTCTTCTTCTTTTTTTCCTTCTTTTTGTTTTTTTTGTTTTTTTTTTTTTAATTATTTATTTAATCACAAATTAATTCATTTTGTAACAAGAGAAATTAGATTATTCGAATTTATATAATAATAATAATAATAATAATAGGAATCAATTTTCTCGAAAAGTTTCGAATTAATTTTTAAACAACCACCATCGTGAGTGTTGTGTTAATCGAATCAGGAAATAACCACAGAGAACCTTTTTTTAAAGTAGTTAGTTATAAATCAACATTTATTCATATATTTCTACGTACAAAACCAACCCTCGCCCCCAAACTACGTTGTATCTTTATCGGGATTTGCGTTAGTTTAGAAAGAAAGCAAAAGAAACAACAGTAAAGAAGAGACAAAACAAAAGGAGAACATTCTTATCTGTGGACACTCATTTTGTTAACAATCTGTTCGTTCAAAATATCAACAAATAGAAATGAAGTATTAACGAGATAATACGTAACACTCTTGTTGCTATTATGAATCGTTCATTTATTGTCAAATCTAATAAAATGACTTCTCGAATGAGAATTTACCTATTTTGCTGAGATGGGAAACAACGCGAGAACTTAAGGAAGAGTATATAACCAAGACGTGCCATATATATATATATATATATATATTGCCCTTAGACCAGTGGTTCCCAAAGTGGGCGATGAAACGATTCAGAGGGCGGCATTTGCGGAGTGGGAGGAAGGGGGATGAATTTTCCTTTTTGAGCTACTAAAAACAAAAAATATAAGAAAAACCAAACAATTAATTTTCAGATGGGGGGGGGCGATAAGTAATATTTTTTCTGGAAAGGGAGCGATAGGATAAAAAAAGTTTGGGAACCATTGGGCCTAGACAAAAATTGGAAATTAATAAATTAATGTATTTATATTTTTTTTTTTTTTTTTTTTTCTTTAGTGGACAGAGCAGTCTATTTTAATTGTATTTGTAATATTTGAGATCTAATCGTGGATCAAATTGTGCGCAAATTTTAATTCTATTTATTTGTCATATATATATATATATATATCAATATTATAAATCCGACAATTTTTCAAATGATGTCAGCGTGTTAGAAAAACAGTTCTTGTAAAATTTGTCAGTGGCAAGATAGAGAAAGAGAGAGAGAGAGACATCGATTGCTATAATTGCTGCAGAAGGAACAAACAAACAAACAAATAAAAAAATAAAAAAAGAGTGAGAGGAGAGATTAGAAAGAAAAATAATACATGGAGTTTTGCTGCATCGTCGTAAAATGAAAGAGAAAATAATAAGAAAAAAAAAGCACGTTATCATGGTGTAAACTAAAAATGGACTGATTACGAGAAGAAAATAATGTGTTATATAGATCAAGACTATTTTCTTAAATAAGGGATAATAATCGTAAGTCAATAATAATGCGCGTCGAAAGAATACAAAAAAAAAAATGAATGGGGATGTACCGATCAAATATTTCGACTTTCAAAACAATTTTTACACACCGCGATCCTTTTGATCTCTAACACCTATCCAATTTCCACACACACCACACTCCCATAATATCTACCATCCCTCCAATTCCCTGTTTTCGTCAAAGTTTTATCATTCTACCCCTAACCCCTTCCTCTTCAATTTAATATTAAATTTATTTCTTTCGTTATTATTGATATAGAAATCTGTTTTCTT